ATGTATGTGTTTTATGGATTTTATGTATGTATGTATGTGTTTTAAAGGGTATTTTCGGGAGAAATGTTTTAACATACCAAACCACTTTTAGAATAGTATTAGATTTTTATTATATTAATAAAAAAATAACTGTTAGTCTTATACTCCCATTATCATTTAAACACATGTTTGGTGCGATCCGTTAGTGTTGGCGAATAGCATAAAATATTGGTAAATGTAGGGTCCTAATTTTGAGTTTTCTGTTTCCTTAAAAAATTCGGATAAAATTTATATTTTCTAGAGCTGGATCATTTGTGTTAAGAGTTTAGCTATTGGTTTTTTAATTCCGCAGTACCATTTTTTGAGTATTTACTCATTGTTGAGCTAGCTATATAAGTCAGCACAATCTATAGTATAGAAGTTTTCACAAAATATCATTGTTCCTAGCGCCCTTCTGATTTTAAAATTCATGTGAATCGGGCTAAATCTAATCTAATCTAATACTATTCTAAAAGTGGGTTGCCATGTTAAAACATTTCTACCAAAAATACCCTCAACTACACATACATACATCATAAATTACACATATATTTACATACTAAAATCATTTATTAAATGTCATACATACATTGACTCATACATACATGCATACTTTATGAGGACTTTTTGAATAAATGTCATAATCTAAAAATACTTTATGTTGTAATTAATATGTATTTATTTATTTAGCCTGAAACCGAAACTGACCTCCTTAATTTTCCTCACATCCGCCTCTTTTCCAATCCCTCCACAAATAAACCGACTCTTCCAAATGCCAATAGACTCAATTCTTCTCATCAATTTAGACATTTAATTTTGTAACTTCCCTCCAATTGATTACTAAGGAAACTATTCATAGACTATAACAGATGTTGAGGAGGAGGAGGAGAAGCGGTTTCCAAATTCAACTCCTCTCTTTCCTCTTCCACTGACATGTTCCTTCTCCAAATATTCATATTCCTTCAATGCTTTAACTTTAATTAAATTAGCACTCCTCACTCAATAAATAATACAACAATGACGATGACGACCTACTCCTGTTCTCTATTTTCCTTTCACAAGAATAAGAAGAAGAAGAATAAGAATAAAGATGGGTAGCCGTTGCTTTCGAACCGTTCTTCTGCTTGCACTGTTTCTCTCCCTCTCTTGCTTTCGAACCGTTCTTCTGCTTGCACTGTTTCTCTCCCTCTCCTTCTCTCAAGGTCTGTTCTTTTTTTTTCCATTCTTCTTAATACTATTATAAAAGTGTGTTGCCATGTTAAAACATTTCTTCCTAAAATATCCTTCAAGTCATGCTAAAACACATACATGCATACATAATATATATGAATACATAATCCATACCCCTTCAAATATTTCTCATAACCACCAATAAATTTATTAAATTAAATGCAATAAATGCACCTCCAATTTACATTCACTACCATTAGAAAAAATAAAATAAAAAAGTGTGTTGCCATGTTAAAACATTTCTTCCTAAAATATCCTTCAAGTCATGCTAAAACACATACATGCATACATAATATATATGAATACATAATCCATACCCCTTCAAATATTTCTCATAACCACCAATAAATTTATTAAATTAAATGCAATAAATGCACCTCCAATTTACATTCACTACCATTAGAAAAAAAAATAAAAAAAGTGTGTTGCCATGTTAAAACATTTCTTCCTAAAATATCCTTCAAGTCATGCTAAAACACATACATGCATACATAATATATATGAATACATAATCCATACCCCTTCAAATATTTCTCATAACCACCAATAAATTTATTAAATTAAATACAATAAATGCACCTCCAATTTACATTCACTACCATTAGAAAAAAAAAAAAGTGTGTTGCCATGTTAAAACATTTCTTCCTAAAATATCCTTCAAGTCATGCTAAAACACATACATGCATACATAATATATATGAATACATAATCCATACCCCTTCAAATATTTCTCATAACCACCAATAAATTTATTAAATTAAATGCAATAAATGCACCTCCAATTTACATTCACTACCATTAGAAAAAATAAAATAAAAAAGTGTGTTGCCATGTTAAAACATTTCTTCCTAAAATATCCTTCAAGTCATGCTAAAACACATACATGCATACATAATATATATGAATACATAATCCATACCCCTTCAAATATTTCTCATAACCACCAATAAATTTATTAAATTAAATGCAATAAATGCACCTCCAATTTACATTCACTACCATTAGAAAAAATAAAATAAAAAAGTGTGTTGCCATGTTAAAACATTTCTTCCTAAAATATCCTTCAAGTCATGCTAAAACACATACATGCATACATAATATATATGAATACATATTCCATACCCCTTCAAATATTTCTCATAACCACCAATAAATTTATTAAATTAAATGCAATAAATGTACCTCCAATTTACATTCACTACCATTAGAAAAAAAATAATTTAGTTAAACTCCTTCTCTATTATTATATAATAATAACTCAATATAATAATATTATGTAGTATTTTTAATACTATGTAACAACATAGCCTACTATGCAATAGCTTCAAATTCTTATCGTAACTGCCAATTAAATATCATCATCAATTTAATAGCCCTACTAACTACAAATTAAACTCTAACCGTTCATATCCCTAACCTCTCTAGGATCATTTCCTATATAATATCTGATGATTATACAACTCAATTCACATTCCTAATCAAACAATCAAACTCCAACATCTCAAAGTGTAATCTCCTACCCTCTCTCTCCCTCTCAATCTCTCTCATACTCCCTGGCCTCCTTCGAACTCCATCAACACCAGCCTCCACCTACTGACCTTCGTAACTAGGCACCGTAGTCCTTGCCAATTTCACTATTTGCTCTGGTGAATAGTAAATAAAGGAAGTAAAGAAAGATAAATGTGTCTGTTTACTTTCATTTCCATCAATCTAGAATTGGTTTGTGTAATTTCAACGGTGGATCCAGTCATTATGATGGTATGATATATTTGATTTTATGATGAGCTTCAAATTTATGTAACTTGATGTAACTTTATAGAGCTTCAAGTGGAAAAGAAATAATTGCCCAAAAAATGACATTTATCCTAATTAGTAAGTTTATAAATTATTTAAATTATTTATAAATCTAATTAATAAGTTTATAAATTATTTTAACATGGCAACACACTTTTATAATAGTATTAGATATATATGTATATAATAATCTAAACCACTTACAGTCATTATGTGATTCATTTATTTTTTTTAGAAATGAAAGACCCTTCCATCTGTTAATTTTTTTAAAAAAGTAGGATAGTAGTTCAAAAAAAAAACAACAAATGAAGCTTAATAATAGAAACCTAATGTTAAAGTAGAGAGTACATTTGTTAATATAATTATAATTTAGTGTATTGTAAATATTCAAGTTCATCTACGTGCAACGCACGTACACTATACTAGTCATACTCCCTTTAAAAGCACGAGTTCAGGAATTCTTTTTTAGACAAATATACCCCTTTATAGTTTTAACTACCTTATCTATAATCAAATTCTAATTTTTAAATTTAATTTTAATGATGGTGTTTGAATAAGCAGCGTACAATCTTTTTTAGACAAATATACCCCTTTATAGTTTTAACTATCTTATCTATAATCAAATTACAACTACACTTGCCGAATCAATCTACAGATAATGACCGGGTATGTTTTATACTAACTCCATCAATCAAATTATCGAAGACAGCGGATGAGCTTATTACACAATTTTTATACTAACTCCATCTCCTTCAACAGTTAAGAGATTGTCGAGTGTCATCAACTTACAACTACACTTGCCGAATCAACAGTTTGTTTCCTATTGGAAAAATTAAGACCTATCGAAGCTCATCCGCTGGGACCATGTCCACAAGACGATGCTTATAGAATTTTTTACACTATGTTCAAAAATTAAAGAAGCTAACAAATCAAAACCAAAAAAGGACAAAGAAAATGAGTTATTATATTGTGAACTTCTTGAATATTATGTTTGGGATTCGACAACAAAATGTTGGAGTCCAAGAAAACAAAGACAGATGATAGGCCGTATACATGGTGGTAATCCAATTGAAGGGGAAAGATATTACTTACGCCTTTTACTTACTCACATCAGATGCCCCACCTCATTTGAGAATCTATTGACCGTGGATGGAATTCAATACACATCATTCAAACATTCAGCTCAAAATTTAGGTTTATTGGAATCAGATAATAGCATCAGAGAATGCTTAGATGAAGCCGTCATCTTTCAAATGCCAACAACCCTTCGCCGCCTGTTTGCAACCATACTGGTTCACTGTGAGCCCGCGGATGTTAATAAATTATAGGATCGATACCTTGACTCATTATTTGAAGACTTCTCAAGGAAACCTGGTGCTACGAAAGCTTCGATTATAAACGACACCCTTTGCAGCATTAAATTCTTCTTAGAGAGCATGGGAAAGGATATCAAGAAATTTGATTTACCGCTTATTCAAACTAACCCTTATTCAAAAGGAAGTTCATACCCAAGAGAAATTCAAGATGAACTCAATGTACAAATTCTAGATGAAGACCTCAATGTTGAATCATCAATCAATTCAAAACAATATAATGCATACACTTCAGTACTATCACGAATTTAAGAAAATAAAAACGGGATTTTCTTTATTGATGGTCTAGGAGGAACTGGGAAGACATTCTTATACCGTGCTTTGCTAGCCAAAATAAGATCAGAATGGATGATAGCTCTTGCTACAGCGACATCAGGCGTTGCAGCAGTAATAATGCCCGGAGGCCGAACAGCACATTCCAGATTTAAGATAAAAATCCCAACAACAGAATCATCTATGTGTAGCATATCCAAGCAAGATGGAACCTCAAAGCTGATTAAGATAGCTAAGTTAATAATTTAGGATGAAGCTCCAACGGCTAAACATGTTGCAATTGAAACATTATATAGAACATTAAGGGATATAATGGATCAAGATGAACCATTTGGTGGCAAAGTAATAGTATTTGGTGAGGATTTCAGACAAGTTTTACCAGTAGTACCCCGCGCAACAATATCACAAACTATTAGAGAAAGTTTAGTAAGCTCATATTTGTGGAGCAAAATGAAAAAGTTGAAGCTATCGATGAATATGAGAGCAAGAACAAATTCAACATTTAGCGAATTCCTTTTAAGAGTTGGAAATGGAGATGAACCGACAGTGGCTGATGACCTAATAGCATTGCCCACTTCTATTTTGATAAAGAATCAAAGTGATGATTTACCAGAAGATTGTCTAATAAATGCAATTTTCCTATCTTTAGATGAGAACTTTAAATCCATTGACTATATGAAAGATCGAGCTATCCTGGCAACAAAAAATAAATATGTCGACATGCTAAATGATAGAATCATAAAACAATTTTCAGGTGAAGAAAAAGAATTCTACAGCTTTGATGAAGCAGTTGATGACACTAATCATCACTACCAACCAGAATTCCTAAACACATTGCTACCAAATGGACTACCACCCACAAGCTGGTATTAAAGAAACATTGTCCTATTATTTTATTAAGGAACCTGGATCTGACTAATGGGCTATACAACGGAACAAGAATGGTATGTCAAGATTTTAATTGTAATATAATCCATGCTAAGATCATAATGGGCCAACATGCAGGGAAAGAAGTTTTTTTGCGAAGAATACCATTATCTCCAGCAGAAGATGAAGGGTTCCCGTTCAAGTTCAAACGAAAGCAATTTCCAATACGGCTATGTTTTGTAATGACAATCAATAAATCACAAGGACAAACAATTCCTCATGTAGGCATCTATCTACCTCAACACGTTTTCGGACAAACAATTCCTCATGTAGGCATCTATCTACCTCAACACGTTTTCTCTCATGGACAGCTGTATGTTGCTTTATCACCTCATGTAGGCATCTATCTACCTCAACACGTTTTCTCTCATGGACAGCTGTATGTTGCTTTATCACGAGAGACTTCAATGACAACAACCAAAGTCCTAATAATATCAGACGAAAAATTTAAAGAATACGAAAGAGACACAAAAATATAGTATACAAGGAAGTCCTCCAGCCAACAAACATGAAATGAACTTCAAAGTCGCAATAGCTATTCTAAAGGTAATTAATTTATAAGAATAATTGCGTATGTTCATTCATGTTCATTCCTATAATTTATTTAACCCCACTCAAACTATATTATCAGTTAAAAATATTCAAAACCTTATGAGGAACAAGAATTAATAAATTCATTTTCTAAGATATGGTATATTCTATAATATTGTTCAAAACTAACATGTATATTTTAATCTATTTAACAGAAAATATGATTACCGGTATTGAAGACCAAACTCAGCACATCCAAATAAACCAACTCAAGAAGTTTCAGAAAGAATGGACCATTCATGTTATCATACTTTGAAGTGCAGAGGCAACTTACAAAAATGCAAAAGGATCAGGTAAAATACTAAAGCTAAAATAAAATTATTTTTAATATTATATTGTTTGCCCAACGTTACATCTGATCATATGAATATTGCTAAATCTCATTTTCTAATCGGTAAATTACATTAAAACACTGATATCAAGGTACATAAATTATTGCTGAAATTCTTAGTAAAGATAACTAAACATAAAATTAGTCCTATAATTTTCTCATTTTTGTAGGAGATACAAGCATATCATCGCAAGTTATTTTAACATTATGTATCAACCTAAAAATAGAACTAGCTAGCGAATTAAGGGAATGGTAGGCAGAACAAGCATACTTTCATATAACTCAATAATGAAATATTATTATATTTTAATCTAATATGCAGGTTTTAATTGGAAGAAGCTGCAAAAGCAAAAGGATCTCCATCGGCGCTTTTTAAAAATACCAAGGAAATTCATATTAGTGATATTATGCATAAGTCACAGAATTCGATACAGGTACAATATTATATACATATTCTTATCTACAAATTTAAATTTAACTAAACTTTGTTAATATACAGGCACGGTATTACACATTTAAGGCAAAGATAACTACTATTTTAAATAGGCTCGAGCCATGGTTCTATGCTTGCAAAGGCTGTGACAAGAAGGTTGATAAAGATGTTAGTAAAGAGTGTCTGAATGACAAATGCCGCAGAATCATTGATGACCCAGTACCAATGTTAAGTAATATATCTTTTTTAATACCATGAACATATTAAAATACAATACTAATTATCTTTAGAAATTAACAATGAAAAATACAGGTACTTAGTTAAGATTCTCGTGGAAAATGGCACGGATAATGCAAGAGTAACACTCTTTGACGCAGCAGAAACTCTTATTGGATGCAAAGCAAAAAAATTCATTACAGAAAGAAAGAGGTAATTCCTAACTCTATTCAAGTAATAAATTAGAAAATAAATAAATTCATAAGTATTAATATAACATTTGTTCTCATTACAACAGAAAAATAATCAGAGTCCATATTTCCAAAAATTTGTTTTGTACATCGGAAAAACATTCAAATTCTTGGTGAAGTTAGATGAAAAGACAAAAGATGAACGAGGCGAAGGTAATATAATAGCACAAGAAATTCAACTCGAGCCTGATATTACAATCGACGTAGATGATGAAGATGCTACTCTAGAGTTGCCCAGAAAAAAGATAAAGGTGGAGAAAGATTGATCTTGGTTCAATTAGAAATTTTTAAGAACAATATTTATTAATTAGTTTATATAACATCTTAATTTTTTATTACAAATAGGAATTTTTATAAGGCATTTTCATGCAAAGTTATTAGTAGTTTTGTATGCTTATGTGATTGCTTACATCCCATAAAATCACACTTTGATATTTAACCATTTAACTATATTTTATTATTGTCTATGGATATGATCCTGTATTTCGTGAGAGGCAATCGATAAAAATCTACTTTTATTGATCCTGTGAATGGATATATTGTCAGATAGACATAAAATACTCTTCCTGATAGCTAGCGCAGCATGTGATCAATCATTTATGATATAAAGGTGACCTCTTTAACCAATTGCCAAAGAATTACTATTGTGATGAATTTACTTGGGATTGTCACAAACTTCAATATTCATTATTTTCAAAAAAATCATTGGCTTACTAATTATTACTTGTTGAAATTGTTGCCATGTTGATAAGGGACCAAATTTGATCAATATTTACTTTCATATTTTAATTAAGTTCCTGTTGGGTGTTGGTGGTAGTGATCAATTAAAAATTCTTAGAACAAAAATATTTTATAAGTTTGTAGTAAATCAAACAATGATCTTAGCTTTTTAAGTCAAAAAACATTTGAATAAACTTAAATTTTTAAAATATTTTCTACATTACTATAACTAAAATTCATAATAACAATTATAATATCCCAGATACGTATATTCATCCAAGTTTAGTTTAAATTCCTTTACATTAATTTTTTTAATATTTAAATAAAATACTAATAAATCTTATAATTCAATTATACATATTTGAACTCAAGATTATTTAAATAAAATACTAATAAATCTTATAATTCAATTATACATATTTGAACTCAAGATAAATCTCACTTATTTAAAGTAATAAATCTTATAATTCAATTATACATATTTGAACTCAAGATAAATCTCACTTATTTAAAGTAATAAAATAAACATAAAACAATATTTTTTATTTAACCACGTGCATTGCACGTGCATAGAAACTAGTATATTGAAAAATATGATGGGTGATTAATCTTATTGATGAGTTGATGCTACCAGCACAAAAATAAAGCAAACTTTCTCTCAAGTTTTAGATACAGTAATAATCCAGACTTTAAAAAAAGAGTGTTGCTAGGAGGACCCAAAATATGAGACCAAAGGAGGGGACAAGTGAGGTGTCCCCTCCCTATTGCATAATGAGTTGGGTTAATATATATATAGGTTAGGTTAAGGTTAGGGTTAGGATTAGAGTTTAAATATTAAACATAATTAAGAATTAAATAAAGAAAAAAATAGAATAATTAGGGAAAATATTTACAATTAATACGTGACAATAATACTAACATAACAAATATTAATTTAATAATTTTCACTACATCAAGTTAAATTTATAATTATCAAAATTATTAAATAAATATAAAATTGAATTTTTAAATGGTAAAAAATTCTAGAAAATCGAGAAAACACAAATACTTTTTAAAAAATAATATTTGAATATTTTAAAACATCAGAAAAATTATATTAACTAGTATCAAAAATTCATGATCATTACAACGAGCATTTGCAAAATGATACAATAAGAGTCCTAATAAAATAGCCTCAAACCTACTTAAGTGGCCCAAGCCCAACAGAGGCCTCGACCCCGCCGACTCATTAAGTCGACCTTCTTTCATGCCGATACGAAAGGCGGGATCAGTCGACCCTATCGCTGAGGATGACCCACTTAGGGTACTTGACCACTCACTGAGGCAATTCTCGGAGACGACTTAAGGGATATTCCTTGTTGTTGACTAAGTTAAGGACTCGGCCCAGGCCTCAAGCCTCTCCCCCAGAGCATATGTCAACATTTCAGTCCATATCAGATAAACCTTATCTAGATTTTAGCCTAATGATCTCCGTGACTTGTCAACTACCCACATGCCTCCATGACTTATCAATCACTTCCCGAGAAATGCGGAGACACCATCTCTCTTGCGAAGTGACTTCCCCTTCAGTCGCCAGCCGACACCTGTAAAGCGAGGGACGATTCAGTATGCCCATGTGCCTTCTGCTACACTATCAACCACTTCTCGAAAAAATACGGAGACACCCTCTCCATGCGAAGTGACTTCTCCTTCAGTCGCCAGCCGACACATGTAGAGCAAATGATGACTCACCTTCCAGCTCACACTTTGTCACCGCTATTTTCATGGCTGAAGTGACCAATTTGCCATTGACGTCCTCTTTATGTATAGATGCTATTCACCATAGCTAGAGGAGAGGTAGGTTCACAATCTAAAACCCCTTAAAGCACACACTGCACAAAAAAAAGAACACACAGTTCTTCTTTAACCCCACCCGATTTCATCAACTGGCTTGATCGTTGGAGGTATCACGAGGGAACTCATCTCCGCCCTCTTACGACTCTTTTGTGTGTAGATTGCTTGGCCATCCTAATTCTAGAACAGGCATAAAGTCGAAGAAGAAAACGGGCCCTCTTTTTCTTTTATAAACTCCGTGACTTCATTTGGCTGTGTGATATTTAACACCAACAATGCTAACTTTTACTTTTTATTAAATATTTGAATTGCATAATTAATTTAAATTTTAAAATTACAAAAATTTATGTTTTATTAAAAATTAATTAAAATTGAGAGATGATGAAATGATGTCTGGTAGATCAAAAAAGAAAGAGAACAAAGGGAAAAAAACTTTTTTTTTAAAAATTTATATTACAATAATAATTCCCAAAAAATCAAAAAGTTAATCTTATAGACTATCTAATAGTTCTTCAAGATTAATTAACACTAAAATAATAATAATAATAATAATAATAATAAGTTTTAAAATGTATAAATAGTAGTATGATTATCAAAATACATGACTTATATCCTTATTGATTTCTGAAAATTATCCTTAATTATACTAAAGGTTGTCCCACTAAAATATCACTCCCAATTATCATATTAAAATATCTCATATTAAAAAATTATCTCATAATAAAAATTGTTCCACTTCTATAAAAAATGTTCTAGCTAATTAACACCTTGCATAGAATATTCTAGAAGCTCTTCACGTGAACTTACAACCATCAAATTCCTGCCTCTGATCCGAGCCCAGAATCAGTTGACAAGCGTGAAACCAAATACACACCGGCGGTGACCATAAGACCAGCGATCACGATTCACCATACTAGGCTTTAAACCCGGAATAAACCCCAACAAACATTAGAATTTAGAAGCCCACCCCTCTCTTATCGGATCCGCAACCTAAAACCCGCTTTAAACCCGTACCCGCGTTTTTTCGAACGCGGAAGAACTCAGAAGAGGACAAAAGAATCAAGCCCAAGAAGAAAGAAAGAACCCGGGAAAACAACGAAAAAAGAGAGGAAAAAAAAATCGTAGAATTTGAAGGAGATTGCTGTGATCGATCCGCGGTAATGGAAGCGAACGCCACGGCGCCGGCGCGGGGGGCCCCCCGCCGCCGCCGGGGGAGGAGCAGCAGGCGGCGGGGGTGGGGATCCTGCTGCAGATATCGATGCTGGTGCTTTCTTTCGTGTTAGGTCACGTGATCCGCCGGCACAAGTTCTATTACCTACCCGAGGCCAGCGCTTCTCTTTTGATCGGTAACCTCCCTTTATCTCACTCTATTTTGTTATCATTTAATAGTATATTTAGGGTTATTTTTGATGTAATTAGACTTGCGAAAGGCGAAACTCTGAACCTTAAACCAAATATTTGCGAGAGTATGATGACTGAGTACAGACTCGTTCTTTAATATCGCAAGCTATTTCCATGAGAAGTTTGAATGATGATGCTATTATTGGAATTTTTTTTTCGAAGAAACAGAAACCTAATTGTCTCGATGCACGACCATACGAATAGAAGTGATATTTCTTCTTCACTGAATATTGACCTGTTCGTTCTATTGCAAGCTATTCTGATGAGAAAGATTTGAAGGATGACACAGTTTTTTCCTTGAAAGCCGAATTGTCATGATGTGTGATGTTATGAGTGAACTGTGTTAAAAAGAACTTAGAAATGAGGAATATCGAGAACTTGTGGTGAAAAGTTCCGATTTCTTAATCTTGTGTCGTTAGTTTAATTCTTGGATTACCTGATTAGTTAGGAAGAGATAATTGTAGATTTTGCTTGGTCCATATAGAAGAGCTGTATTAGTTACCATTTGATTGATATCACATAAAACTTCTTGAGTATTTTTCTTTTTGATTAATAAAATGACTCATAAAATGCGTTGGGGTGGACAAAACTACTCAAAACTTTTTTTACTTTTTCTTCAAAGTTTCAATTAGAAGGTTTTTATCCAGGAACCCCAATGGAAGCTTTTTCCAAGTGGTAAAAGTGAAACTTCTCTATCATATGGGGGAAAAATCATCATACTCTAGGCTTATCTGGAGGACAGAAGCCATTGAAACTCGAGGTTCAATTGCTGATTTCATTTCCTGGATTTGTTCTCTCATAGGAAGTACATAAACTGGTAGGTTAGAACAAATTAGGTGTAGGTTAGTACTTATTTGGGCTGTGGAAACTACTGATACTTTCTTCTGTGACCGACACTCAACAAATGAACAGTAGTTTTGTACAATATAGATTAGATAAAGAGAATTGTCTAGAAACTGTATTTACAAGGGTACATTTTTTCCCATTTCAGGTTTAGCAGTCGGTGGACTTGCAAATGTTTCAAATACTGAAACCAGCATTAGGTTTGTCTCATATCTTTTCAGTGGGTTGAATCCAGAAAAGCTCACACTCTTTTTATGTGTTAAAAAAAAGGTTCCTACGTTTTGCAGGGGATGGTTCAATTTTCATGAGGAATTCTTCCTCATGTTCTTGCTACCTCCAATTATATTATATCCAAACTAAGTCAGATTTTTGGGAGTATATATAATTTATTATTATTGTAAATATCTCATACCACCCAGCTGTTTAATGTTTTACTTAACTCCAACTTACTCAGTCAGGCTTCAGCTTAGCACCGGTAAGTTATTTACAATCATTATACACTTCGCGGCAGTTTCTTGAATTTGATTTTGTTTGACAGTTCACTATCATTTTGGCAGAAACCATTTTTTTCAAACTTTGGGGCTATTATTACTTTTGCTATCCTCGGGACTTTCATTGCTTCAACTGTTACTGGTGTATTAGTGTAAGCCCATTGTTTATGTCCATCTTGCATTGATTAAAGAAGGTTTTTTGCACAATCTTATCCTGATCGTCTCCGTGCAAGTTTTCTTTCTTTGCAGATACCTTGGTGGATTAACGTTCCTAATGTATAAACTGCCATTGGTCGAATGCCTTATGTTTGGCGCTCTTATATCAGCAACTGATCCTGTCACTGTGTTATCCATTTTCCAGGTGTTTAAACTTTTTTGCTTTGCAGGAGATTGTGCATGACTATTTGGTTTATGGTTATATATTATTAACAGTCAACTAGTTATGTCAGATAGAACTATATTTTATTCGAATTGAAGTCATTTGTGAGATATTTGATAACTTCCTAGTGGACACAAGTTCTTCAAGAAAAGCATAATACGAAGTTGGGTCCCTGGGTATTAGCTTACGCTTATGGGCTTCTTGTTGGTTCTTTTATATACACTGAGGAATAAGCAAATTTTATATCAACCTGAAAGATTCAGATTCCAAGCATCAAAGAAATTTAGATCCTATAAATATTCACACTAAAAGTCAAAGATATAATTCCACATTTCTTTTTTGCCCATGAATATCTATGTGATATTTTTTCCATGCAGGAACTCGGTACTGATACGAATCTCTATGCTTTGGTGTTTGGAGAATCTGTTTTGAATGATGCAGTACGTGAACTCTTCCATTTGTGAAGTTTTATTTTAATCTTGGTACATTTGTTTTTGGTGCTGTAATTTTCATGAGTAATTTTTTAGCTGATGTTCTATTTTCGGTTTGACTTTGTTGTTTTGTTTGGCAACCTTGAAGATGGCAATTTCTCTGTACAGGTTTGTCTCACGGGCTTGACTTGCTTCAATATTCTTTATTCATGTGAAAGTTTTGACTGAACGGCAATTGTTCCAGGACGATGGCGTCAGTCAGAAGTAATGCTTCAGCAGGGCAGGGCTTTTTGCTGGTAGTGGTTAGCTTTCTCGAGACATTTGTTGGTTCATTATCATCAGGTTAGGTTTGACTGTCTCTACATGTTTAACTTAACTTGTTCTAATGACTTCCTTTTGCTTTTTAAAAACTATTTACTAATTGACATCTCTTATTGGGACCAAAAAGGGCACATATGTAGTAGAGAAGACAATGGCAAGAATTCTTAAATAATGTATAACTGGAAGAAATTAAGAATTAAGATGTACCTCTTGTAACTAATATAATTATGTAACCTTATATATATATGTGTGTGTGTGTGTGTGTGTGTGTGTGGATATACTGACAGGATCACATTTATACTTTGTACAGGTGTACTGGTTGGGTTCACTTCTGCTCTGATATCCTTCATATTTTTTCTTCACACTCTTTATTTAACTTCCATGAATCCGTTTTTTCTCCTGTATTTTTTTACTTCATTCCCTTAATTAGCCAAAGTTTCCATGGTTCTATCTTATTTTGTGCTTTTGTTCTTTTTATTGTTTTATTTGTGTTAAAAAATGGCAAGTAGCGCAAGCGCATGAAACTGAGTGAAGTCTCAGACTTCTCCAAGCCAATGATCAATATATATGTAACAAGAACATATTTTAAATCTATAATAGTTTTAATTCATTATTAGGAGTGTTAAATTGTATATTTTAAGGTAAATAACACCAATCTGTTGCATGATGAATGATTGATCCTATATTTATGGTTTTCTTTGCATAGCAAGTTTGAATTTTTTTCCTTTATTCTATATAGGACGTCATCACGTTGCTATAATTTATGTTCATAAATATGTTTAGCAATCACTTAAAATAAAATTAAAAGAAAAAATCCAATTATATGACACTACAAATTCATTTCCACAGAAAATAATAAGGATCAGCTTTTACAACACATATTTCTGGAAGGGTTTGCTTTTTAGTTGGGAGCATAGTTAAATGAAACTACTGAGGGTATGGGTATGCATACAACAAATTTGTAAAAGATAGGGTATGGGGACACATCTATATATGTGTACGTATTTATATATTGAATTTTAATAACTTATATGAGATATATGAGATCATTATGTTTTTTGGATAAATTTTTAAAAACACCCTTTTTTAAAATTTATTCTGCAAAATCGACCTTTTTGAAAAAAATTCAGCAAAACCAACCATTTTCAGATGAAAAGGGTCGGTTTTGCTGAGCGAGTGTTTTTGCGAACTACACGGGACTACTAGTCCCGTGCAGTTCGTTTTCTATCTTTGAAATAGTCCGAACACCCCACTTCTTCTTCGTCTGGATCTTCTCCTTCAAATGGCGACTCACCATCAGCAACCCGCGTCGTCAACCCACCACTCCCTCGCCTTTCGCGTGATGCGGCTCTGTTGCCCCTCCTTCCAACCCGATGACGCCGTCCTCCACCTCGACCCCACCGACCTCCTCGCCGACGAGGACCTCATCGCTGCCCCAGCCTCCTCTCCTCCGTCGTCGCCGCCGCCTTCGTCGATTTCAGCTTTCGCCACCGCCTCCTGCTCCAAAACCCTACCGACGCCCTCAGGCAAGCAGCGTAATCTTTGTTGCTTACATCGCCTCTGCACTGAAAAAGCCTAGAAATTGATTGATCTGTTGAGGAGGACGAAGTGGTCTTGTAGAATTTGGAGCTGGCTGACTTGGCCGTAAGAGGTGAGGAGAGCGTTGTTAGGGTTTGGGTGCTGCTGCCATTGCTGAAGCTCTGGCTCGCACAGTCCTTGTAGACGAGGGTGAATAGGTTGGCAACTTAGATTGGGGTGAAGAGGAGAGAGAGGAGAGGAGGAGGATTGAGAGACCCATCTGAGGTTTCGATTTTGGTTTTGATTTTTATAGGATTTGGGACTTTTTCTGTGCGCCCAAGTTTTCAAACTGCACGGGACTAGTAGTCCCGTGCAGTTCGCAAAAACATCCGCTCAGCAAAACCAACCCTTTTCATCTGAAAAGGGTCGGTTTTGCTAATTTTTTTTCGAAAAGGTCGATTTTACAGAATAAATTTTAAAAAGGGGTGTTTTTAAAAATGTCATTTTTTTATCATTCACATGTTATGAGTAATTCCTATTTTATGTTTCTTTTATTATGTCAATATCAATTGGAAAACCGTTCATTATTTGAACCAGTTACCTAAACAACCATTTAAAATCATAGTTCTGAACTGGGTATTGACTGAAGCGATGACCTGACTCGTGCTCTAACGAGTTTCGGGAAGTGGATGTATATTGTAGGATACACATCCAAGAAGTGTATCATGAGTGTTTTAAATTATTACATTTATTATGCAATTGAGTACATGTATGAATAAATGTAAGCATATATTCAAGGAGTGCTCAAGGATTTTTGGTCTAGTTTGAGTAAGGCTATTGTTGGATATGGAGATGGCTTCATGATAGAAGTACCCAAGCAATGTAGGTATTGATTACTAGTGAAGATTATCTTCAGATGCTCTAATTTTATACTTTGAACCGCATGAAGCAGAAGTTGGAAAATTGTAGTTACATGGTTACTGGAGAAATTGGTGATTGAAATTTATCTCATCTCATTAAACCATCCTAGTTTCCTAGCAGAGGGTCCACTTGAGTTTTTTTGGAACTTATTTTTTTATGATACTAGTTGAGATGCACGTGCAATGCACGTGGTTGAATATCATGATTATTTAAGCTGATGAAAATAGAATAAAATAAAAAAGAAATAAAGTTTTTTGTGGGATTAATCATCAACTCAATAATATTCTCTCAAATAAAATATTGTCATTGTTTTCTTCAACCCAGACTGTGGTCACGTGATCTACTATTTGTGAGTTATAAACACATTACTTAAGTACAATATCTTTGCTTATTAGTATCTTGAAGTCTTCATAAGATGGATGATCATTCAATTCGTAAAGGAATTTTGCATATGAATTTACTTGCAATATGTCATTTGACTCATATTCACATTAACTTTTAGTTGTGATTTCACTCATATTTACATTATTTAATATTCTCGTTCAATTTTGTAGCTCATTCTCTATATTATAGAAGTAAAACTGAAAGTATGAAGAATTATTTTCTTGCGATCTTAGAGCAGTGAGATTATGATATATTCGCTATTTGCTCAAAATATAAAAATTTATTTTTTCCTTTGATGCAACGTCTCAATCAAATCTTACTCTAAACGATGTGAATAAAAAATGCTATTATAACTCACTTGTCTAGGGTAATTGTATTGTATGCAAGACATATAACTCATCTGGAATATCCACATCTGCTAAGTGGATTTTGCTGTTGTGAGAGCAACATGTTAGAGGCTCATATTTAAACTTTTTGGCTCTATAAAAGACACAAGAATTTGGAGTGCATAACTTATATATCATAAAGAACATATTGGTTTATGAAGAAATTTTCCTAATAATAATATTATTACAACGATATTATTATTTAGTATTAAATCAATTTTATTATATAAGATTATGATCATTTTTAATAAATTATAAAGTATATATATATGGAAGCATCGATGCTTATAGCCAGTAGTTGGGCTCCACAAAATATGTTAACTTTACATTGTAGTTTGTTATTTGTAGTACTGTTGGCAATGTCATTACCTTTCCTCTTTATCTTATTATGCACACTTTTCTGATGTAAGCTCTCTTTTACTAATCACTCAATTAGCTATATTTAGTTTTTATAATATCAGATGTTAGAATATTCTCTTCTGTTTAAGAAGTATTGACCTGATTTTCTGTAAAAAATATATACACATAGTAATAGTACGTACTTTAGTTCAACTCAAACATTAGCTTGAAACCATTTAGAGTGAGGTCTTTTCTATGCTAGAATGGTGATATAGTGATTACACAATCCAAAAGTCAAAGAAGAAATTTTTACAAAGAAAAATTAATTTAATATGTCAAATTAACAACTAATTTATGAAATATACATGGACAATGCGGATAGGTATAGAAAGTAAGGCATATATATTCATGAAAATTTCATAGTGAGTGATAAACTATAATCATTCTAATTTAAGCATAAATAATTATTATTTTAGTTACTAATTTGATATGCGTAACTATGGAATAAATCTCAAGCAAAAAATAAGAATTGAGATTATATTATCCTGTCGGTAAATAAATAAATATTATTAGAGCTCCTCTTTATATTAAATTTGAAAGTAATAATTTAAATTGTTAAACGTTAAATATTAGTTCATGTGAGAAAGTAAAGTAATCTATAGTCTCTATACCTATATAGTCAATCAATCAAACATATTAAAATTATGATGACAACAGTCAAAATTATATAGTAGGTTCATATTAAATTTAATTTATAAAAAGTAATCCATTAAAGTCAAAATCATGTTAACCACTATATAGATTGTTTGAATTTTTTTGCATGTATAAACTATACTGCCTAGGAATAATGATGATCACACATAACTATGACCTAATAATTTTAAAAACGAATTGATCTTTAATATCATCATTAATTGACGAACCTATGCATTACATTGAAAACACAATGAAAATTTAGAAAACTACAAAAGAAACACTCTCAAAAGTTTTAAAAATTGTAAAAAAACATCCTAAAATTTTGTAATTTATACAAAACTATTAAACATTACATCGAAATCAATGAATTACAAAAAATTATTCAAAGAAATTCAAACTTTGAAGGGGTAATTTGCAATGTACTAAACTTTAAGGGTGTTTTTTTTATAAAGTTTAAATTTAATAGATTTTTAATTAGTTATGTTCTTTTCAAAAAAGTTATGTGTAATATTGAACATGAAAAGTTTTTCCTAAACCTATACTTTTAAAGGGAGTATGATATTTTTTACAAAATTTTAATTTCCTAGGTGTTATTAGTAATATTGTATATTCATTTTAGTGTCTATAGGTTGAAGATTCTCATAGTATTTTCTTTGTAAATTATGAATTTTAGGATTTTTTTGCAATTTTTTAAACTTATAGGTCTTTTCTACAGATTGTAAATTGTTTATAGATTATTTATAATGACTATGCTTTCGAGATACTAACGAGTTTAAAATTCTCAGGGTGTTTTTTATAAATTTTAAAATTTTGAGAATTTGTTTATAATTTTTAAAACTTTAAGGGTGTTTTTTATAAATTATAAATTATGTAGGGGATATTTATAATTTTTATATTTTCAATGTACTGTTAGGTTGAAAATCATCAGGATTTTTATAAATTTTACAAATTTGAGGGTTTTATTTTGCAATTTGTAAAAAGTTCAGTGTTTATTGCAAATTCTATAAATTTTTGGGGGTTGTTTGTGTTATTTGTAGGTTTTTAGTGTGTTTATAGGTTTGACCTTTTCCAAGGTATTTTTTATAAATTTTGAATTTTTAGGGGTGTTCTTGTAAATTTTAAAACTTACAAGATATTTTCTCTAAAGTAAAAAAACTTTCAGTTTCTAGCTAGCATATGTTTTTCAGATTTATCACTGAATTGAAATAAGTAAAATTTATAATTTTCAGGATGTTTTAATAAAATTTTGAATTTGTAGAGGTGTTTTTGCAATTTAAAAAACTTGAAGGATATTTTTTTATAAAGTCCAAAAACTTTTAGGTGCTAGCTAGTATATATTTTTAGATTTCTATGCGAACTGAAATAAGTAAAGGATTTGAATTATATCAAACATATCTCCTTCATCCAGTACTATGTTAAGTCTCATTATGAATAGGATAAATCATTTCATTGTCAATTCAAAAAAGATAGGATAATTAGAATAGATTAGGATAACAATGTAATATTCTAAAAAGTTAAGGATAATATTGACCGTGGAAAGATTTTCCCGAACTCGTACTTTTAAAGAGAGTATGATCTTGAAGTTGATGCCAATTTCATTAGTATACATATTCAGCTGTATTGATGTAGAGCAACTAAATATAACTACCAATACCTAAAAAATAACTCAGTATCTGAAAAAAGAATGCTTTCTCATAAAGCGCAATGCGAGGGTGCATGGATATAGGCCACATCCTATGTTACCCAGATACTTCTATAATGAAGCCGTACTCGTACCGGACACGTTCCTAACACTTTCCCGTACCCAAACTTCATGGACACTTCTTGAATATATGCATGCATTTATTACAACATGTACTCAATTATACGATATATGTGTTAATTTAAAACACTTGTCAAAGACTTCCTGGACGTAGAGCTTACACTTCACATCCGTCTTTTGAAACTATGAGATACGAGTCGGATTCGTTTCGGTCTATACCCAAGTTTAAAACTATATAGTTAATGCGTCGTTTAGATGTCTAGTAAAAAAATGAGTAGTTTACAATTTACGATAATCAATATGATAAAAGAAACTCAAAAATGTGATCGGAATTTTAATTCTAATGACACATGAAGAGGGAAAAATTATCTTATGTACAATATTAATTCAATATATATAGTCGTGTCCCCGTATCCTACATTTTACAGTTTTGTCGTGTCCCGCACCCGCACCCGCACCCGCACCCCTACCAGTACCCATGTCCGTTTCCATGCAACTTAGGCCACATCACATGTCCAGAATCCAGATGATTGCATTGACATGGAAGCAAAATGGCCCCAGGCCAGACATGAAGAGCTTAACCTAACGTTCATCTTAATTATAGAGAATAGATTTATGCTTGCTATGGGTAACCAGCAAGTAAATGATTATTCCTCATATAGTCTAACCAAGGCTTGTGGGATTTCATTGTTAGACCATGCTTCTCTATCTCTGGAAACTTCTATGATGGAGTTATTAGGAGAAGACATGATCATTATTTGAGCGTCTGCAAGAAACTTCCGAGGATCGCTTAAATTGGTGCAGCATAGAACTTCCATTTACCGTCAAACTGGTATCTGTCTAGTTCCCTTTAAATATCCTTTCTTGTTGAAAGCCTGATACATGCCCTTTTGCTTCAAAATGGAATATCTTGTGACAAAACTCACTATTATGATTGAATGATGTGGAATGCTCTATCAATTCCCCCCGAAAATGTTGTTTGTATTGCTGGAAGGTGGCTTTAAGTTGGTATCAGACCTAGAAAGTGGCCAGTATATAAGTAATCTGAAATGTCTCACACTGAGGATCAACTATATTGATAGTTGCTTCCGTTGTCCTGGATTTTAAGTTGAAAATTTTGATGGTATTCAGCCTTCACCTCTTCCCAGAACTAAAATTCGAGCTGCAAGGGCAGCATATCTCTTAAAAGAGAAGAGAAGATATATGTTATTTCTATAGGATAAACTAGGTGGTAAAGTTCACATAGATTCTTAGCCTTCAACCTTCACAATTGTGCTGATCTATTTGATGTTTCATACTAAAATTCCAAAGAGCACCTTTTACGATTATGATGCGTGTAGTTCCTCCAAAATTCTATGTCTATAAAAAATTTATCACAAGCCTTGTCGATGCATCTTCAAGTGCAATTTGGTTATAGTTGAACTTTGATGCATAATTTTCATTCTTACATCAGCTTTTAACTGAGTCACGTGTTTTTTCCATGATCAAATAATATGATAAGACAGCTCTAGACTTTTGGAATTGTTTTGCTTATTGCATGAAAAAATAGCATTTCAGACGTGCCTTTTGCTTGTATCTCCTATTACAATATTTCATTTTAAGTTTCTCAAATATTTATCTATGTTCACCTAGGAGTTCGTCACACCTACTGAAAAAAGGAGCTTTTTCTTTGCTGCAAGCATCTCCAAGTGGTTTTGTCACTTAGTTTCCATTTTCCTTGTCATCTACAATCCTATTTTCCTTGTCAAACTGTGAATCACTGATGATTTTCTGCATCACTTCAACACTTGGTGCTCTACATCTTTAGCTTCATCACCGGGCAATCCTTAAGTTGGTACTTGGTACATTCAATCTGCAATGAGATGTGAGAAAAAGGAACTTTGTCAAAGAACTAAACTGGGTGCCTACAGGTGTCTGTTGTACATTGCATATATTACCACTACATGGTAACAACATTGTGTATTAAAACAATTGCAAATCTGAGTTTTAGTTATATTTTGCCATAAAAAAAAAATCTAAAACGTTAAAAATTGGATGAACTGCTAAAACCTTAGCTGTTACACCATGTTTAAAACTTTGTTCAAACTAATAGTGTCTACTGAAAGCATCCCTTTTGAAACAGGCCATTTTTATTTAAGTTGAAGAGCATTGTCTAGCCAAACAACCCACATTCCTAAATCCTGATCACCAGTTAAGCCACATTATTTATTTCAGAGAAGCTTGTACAAGAGCTTCTTGAATGTTGAACTGATAGAGCATTTCAGATATCTGTTTAAATGGATATTATGTGTCGGTTTTTGGTTTATTAAATTTTTCTATAAAGTGAATGAACCTTAACTACTCCTTACCTTTTTAAGTATGCGGGACTGGATGTTGACAAGTAAGTAGTTGGTATCTTTTCTTCGTCCTTTCTTTATCTAGTTCAGTTTTAAAACAACATGAAGTAATTCTGATGCAGCGTTAATCTGTTTTTCCTCCAGTCTTCAAAACCTGGAGTGCTGCTTATTTGTCCTCTTTCCTTACTTTTCGTAAGCGAAGGCTTGACCAATCTTTTTCTCCTTCATTTACTTGTATTTAAGTTGAAAATTTAGCTTATAATGGATTATATTTTAGGTACATGCTATCTGAAGGCCTTGGCCTTTCTGGTATTGTATCAATACTGTTCACTGGAATTGTAAGTAAATTTTGTGTTATGAAAGTTGAAATGCTAGTCACAAAGTCTCATTTCTCATCTTTTTTGTTGTCAGGTCATGAAGCACTACACATTCTCAAATTTATCAGGAAATTCTCAACGCTTTGTTGCTGCCTTTTTCCATTTAATTTCATCATTAGCAGAAACCTTTGTGTAAGGAATTAGAAAGTGGTTTTCTGCTTATATGCATATGATATTCCTCCCTGAGTTTAGTCTTTATAGCTTGATTGTCTTTCCTTGCAGATTTATATACATGGGATTTGATATTGCCATCGAACAACATAGCTGGTCACATGTTGGGTTTATCTTTTTTGCAATTGTATCCTTTAAAACCGATTAGGCATATATTCATTACTCTTGCATTTGATTGTCAGTTGGCACTCCTTGACTTTAAACTCCTTGATTAATGCAGTTATTCATAGGAGTTGCGCGGTATGTATGAACTATCAACCTTATCATAAATCTTGGGATTAGTTTAGTGCTTATGCATATTTGATGCGTTAATCTCTAGCTTGCTGAGTTTTGCTCGTATAGCCTTAGTTGTGACGAGAAACAACTTTACTTTATACAAACCCGTTTATTCTTTTAGTGTCATGTTATGATTAATTAATTATCATTCACTGCCTAGCCCTCTTTAGCAAGATTTTCCTTGTCCATCCAGAATAGATTATGAACAGTTGACAAGATAGGCAGGAACAAGATGTCTTTCTGTGTGTATGTGCATGTCCACATTTTGGTACATAAATTGCAGATGTGTCATATGCTGAGGATAGTGGTCCTCACGGTTCAAAGTAAATAGAAAACTATGATTATGTGACTGTTAGATGTTCATTGGATGGTTCTCTGGCTTTGTTCTTTTTCTATTAGAGTATCCAGCATCCTATCACAGCTCCATGAGTATGGGTTTGAGTTAAATCTTACACTGAACCTTTGTTCCTCCTTCTCAACATATTTTAGATGTAATCGCAGCTGCATCATATCCCAAGAGGGTGGGTGTTTGTGCTAAAATTTTAGTTATATACGTTGTTGGTTTTCTACCTGTCTTATATGTTGTTGGCTCATTGCCTACTTGCTCCACATTGAACCTAATAGCTTAACTTTTGTAAAGTTAACTGCAACTATGATGCAAGGAACATCACTTAGGCGTTGGTTATAGAGTTAAAACTTATTTGTTTGTTTTCCCACTATAACTTCCCACTATAGGTGTTCAGTTTAAATACTCTTCACTTCCTGTTCAGCTTTTAACTGTTAATACACTTAAGCCTGCAGTACCAGATGACTGACACCATGTCCCAGTTAATTATGTGTCACCTCTGCGAATGCAATGGCATCATTCGATCATTATTTGAGCCAGCATAGAGCTGCTGCTTCTATATTTGTTGATTTCCCCCTGGTCTGTAATCGGTCCTTGTTCAGTTCCAAGTCATTTCCTTAACTTAGTGTCCTCTAGAGCGGAGAGGTTTCTCCTCCTCTCTGACAGTTTTTAGTTTCACTGACTTCCCAAGCTGATCTGAGCCCTGAGGTTCCACTTCTTCATGCACTTTTAGGTTTTTGTACAAATTTTCCAAGTTGGTCTGCCCATTCTTCCCTGTCAATGGCTACAGAAACTTAGGTAGTCTAGTCTGGGTATGGTGTTTTTTTTGGGTGTGTGTTGAAGCCTTGGTAATGCCATCAACCATTCTATGAGTTTTTTATTGTTACTATTTGGTGCTTGTGATGCTATTTAGTTTAATCATGTCTTAATTCATAGTGTCTTAATGTCACTCTTAAAATGTTAGATTCAGATACCTATATTTTAGTATTACAGGTTCTGTAAATAAGTTTTACATGCTATATTTCAATCACCTGATGAATTAGAAAAACTCTACTACTCCTATCTATGGGCCTCTTATATAGCAAGACAAACCAAACAGGTGCAAGTGAAATTTTGTTGTTGTCTATTAGGTCTCGACCGAACCAGGAATCTAATATTTTAATACCATGTTGGAAAGCTACCTTAAAAATCTTTTAAATCATGGGACAGTATCCTTCATCAAACTAACCTAAGAGTACTAGTGTAAGGACGCTGTCAATTGTCTTTGCGTTTATCAAACTAACCTAAGGGTACTAGTGTAAGGACCCTGGCAATTGTCTTTGAATAACTTGATAAGGCTGTGCCATTTTTCTTATTGAGAAAAGATAGGGCAGTATCATTAAACATGTGAAGACAAAGGAAACACAACTTTGCGTTGAAGCACAGTTATAGTACCAAAAGTATAACAATAAAGCAACTGAAAATAGTACATTTAATCATTTGATCGCAAGGATATAAGATCTTGACGAGAGTTGGTATGGGCAATATGGCATATGAGTTGTGACAAGTTCACCGGTTCAAGGATAGTTATAACACTACTTGCACACTACAAAAGAGAAAAATGTGGGGTCCAACCTCTTTGACTTTTTTCAAAATTGATGACTCATCAAGGGACCCTGCATTTATCTCTCTTGTAGTGTGGGAGTAGTTTAGAGTGTAATGTTATCATTATTCCAAATTTAAGGCATTTTCCCAACAATTATCGAGAGGAGTAAGAGAAGGGGCAGCAAATACTATGTATATTCATTAAAAAAAAAGATATACTGGTATGAGATGGTATAAATGTTTTAAGGATTTTCTCAGATTTTTCTCAGGTATGATTCATGAGATTTGATGATAATTTAAGAATTATCAATAACTGATGAATATACAGAGCATGGAAGTATAACTTACAGCTTCAACATGTAAAGAGTAATGTCTGGCTATTTCAATGATATTCAGCAATTCTGAAGATAGTATGAATAATACATACTGTACAATTGTAGTTTTTTGCCTATATGTTGGTTGGTTTGTGTTTGGGGTTGTTTTGTAACATCGTGTTCATTGTTTTGTCTAATATTGTACATGAAGGGCGGCCAATGTTTTCTCTTGTGCTTACTTGGTTAACCTGGCTCGACCAGTAAATCATAAAATACCTGTAAAGCATCAGAAGGCACTTTGGTATAGTGGTGAGTTTATGGGCACTGATCAAATTTTTGGATATCGTTTACTATTTTTCCTGATGATCTCCTTTTTTTAACAGGACTTCGAGGCGCAATGGCTTTTGCCCTTGCTCTGCAATCAGCACATGATCTTCCTGAGGGGCATGGCAAAATAATCTTCACAGCTACTACTGCAATAGTGATGCTAACTGTAAGTGTCCTTATCAGTGATTTGACTTGAGTTGCCAGCATAAACAGCATAAAGCTCCTAATTTAACTAGTATATTTGTTCAGTAAAAATTATTAAGGTCTAATATGAAGTATCTAACATGTATGAAGAACACTGATTGCTTTATAGAGAGAGCAAGGTGGATGTGTAGCAAAGTATAAAATTCAGTTCATGTTAATATGTGTAATTGAATTCCTCTTATATATTTCTTTGCCTTTTTTTTCCTTCTCTTAACGTCCCTGTAACCATTAGACCAAACCTTCGAAGTTGTGGGGAGGGTTGAGGGTTATTATATTTTTATATTCTAACATACCCTTTATATTCTAACATGCCCCCACTGGTTGAGCGCCCTTTTTACGGAACGAAACCTGGACTCACGCAATGATGCCGATTTTTAGCAAATAAGCTTTAAATTTGTGGCTAGTGAGATTTCAACCTGGGTTGCTCTGATACCATTTTAAAGTCCCTCTAACCATTACACCGAAACTCCTAAGTTGTGGTGAGGGTTGAGGGTAATAATATTTTTATGTTGTATCACCTTCCTTTGGGGAACATATACCTCAGCTTAAAATTAGTCCTTTGCCAGTTGCAGCTGACAATAGCGATAAATACATCACACGTCATTTCTAAGAATTCAATCTGACATGTGATTCCATTGTTGTGCTTCAATTTGTTATCTGTGAAGTTTTTACCTTGGAAACATTAGCTTATGCAAGCAAATAATGCAGGTGTTATTGATTGGAGGCTCAACTGGTAAAATGCTTGAAGCTCTTGAAGTCGTTGGGGATGGCCAAAATGTTCCATTAGAGGAGGTAATTCTGAGAATTTCTTGGTTTTGTAGTTTGTGTACTTATGGTAGTGACAGTCTGTTTATAGGGTTATTCTTCAAGTTCAACACATGGACATTCTGATTTTGGCAACCAGTTTTCTTCAAGGCATGCAGTGGCAATACGTGCCTTACACCTAACCATGGACACATGCACATGAGCACTAAATGACTAATGACTTTAGCTGTTGATAAGTCCTGATGCTTAATCACTAATTACTGTTGCTTCTTATCGTCTTTAAGAAATTCCCAGCTCCATCAGTCCAGGGCGCTTGACTTGGATTTGTATATTTGTAGTCAAAATGATAATTGTTTGGTTTATTTCTTCTTGTGCTTGCATTGTATCTTTTCAGGAAAATGTTTTGGGCGTAGGGTTTGCTTATGTTCAATTCCTCCATTGTAATATGTTAAGTGATTCTGATTGTGTGTTTGCAGAGTTTTGAGGGGAACAATGGGTACACTAGGGCATCTAATGACGAGGAAACTTCCTCTAGAAATAAGATAAAAATGAAACTGAAGGAGCTCCATCAAAGGTACCTTTTACTAGTATCATTTGTACTTTGATCACTTTATGTACATTCTCATCCAGATCTTAAACCTGTTAAACCTTGCAGCACCCCATCATTCGGTGCATTAGATAGGAATTATCTCACTCCATTCTTCACAACTCAAAACGGAAAGGATAATCAGGGTGATTCAGGTAATATTCGATTTCAGTTTGCTTTATTTACAAGTTGCAATGAGATTGATGCCTCATAAGCAAGGATGAAGAATTGAAGCGGACCCGACCAGGCTGAAATGATATTAGTAAATGAAGGGGCTCTATTTGGAAAGCCCATTTTAATGCTGAAACGATGTAAGGAAGTTCAGCAAAAAGGGGAAAGAGGATAATATTGAGGACTATTGGGAGAGCCTGTTTCTATTGATGCCCCTATAATTTATTTGGGCATGAAATGAAGTGCATAACTGATGGTGTTATTCTAGTCTGTGTGGAACCAGCACAAAATATGAAATTAAAGATCTCTAGGAAATTAAACGTCAAAACCTATTGACAGGAGTGCTAAGGTTTTGATTATAAAACACTAGGTGAAAAGTGTAATTATTATTAACTGATGGCAGCAGTTGACAAACTTATTAGACATTTTGACTCATTTGGCTGCACAGACTTATATTGTCTCACCATTATATTAACTTAGGTGCTACTACCTGCCCAATGACGTGTTATTCTTTATTGCCCATAGTTATTTTTGTCACTAATTAATGGCAGATGATCATAATGTCATCCCTTTCTTGGATTTGTCTTGAAGTAGAGTCACCACTTCAAAGCCGTACGTATAGATTTGTGGCTGCTGATAGTAGACTTCCTGAGGCTGTATCAGATTATATCTTAAAAAACATTCTTTATTCTTCTTATACAGCCGGTTGGAAGACCAAATTCATGGGAGTTGCATGAGAGATACTGAAGTTATTCCCGTCTTTTGCATAATATAAGCTATGTTGAACCACTTTTCCTGCTAAACATGCATATCCTGTATATCATGTGTTTTTTTAGGATTTACCACATGGCAATGTGTCATGTCCATGCAACATAGATTATGAGTGGCGATAATGTGGTTGTAAATTTTGTCTAAGTGTATGGAATCATGTTAGGATGTATACAGTGTTGTTTGACTCACTGCAACCGCAATGCAAGTGTCAGGTGCATGCACTTCTTGCAGCTGTTTTGTTCAGTTTTAAGATCTTGCGACTTGTAGCGAACGCAGGTGTTTGCTTTGGATTACAATTTGCCTGCAGTTGCAACTTGACTTTTTAAACTTATGCATCAATATCGGGAAGGAAAAAAAAGCTTAAATTACCTTTCTCGTCTATTTTTTTATATTGAACTAAATTTCCTTTTGACATGTATCGGGCTTACTGATTTCTTTTATGAAACAGAAGGTCCACACCAAAGTTCTAGACCATCAGGCGGTTCTGGTACTCAAATTGAATTGGCACGGCCTGATCATCAGATTGAATTGGGACAGCCTGACCAAGTTCAGTAGCTCTCTGTAGCACGTAAACATTTCCTAACCAACACACTGATGGGTGGTATACAAGCTGACAAATAGAATCTGCAATACATCAATTCTTTCCTCAGCCCTGGACATTAAACACAATTCATCTGTATCAAGTGTTATTGAAGTAGCAATATGTAGTTGGTATTGACCTCTAATTCTTCCACTGAGTTCTCTTCCTGTTCAAAGCATACATATAGGAATCCAATCTTTTCTTATGGCTAAATATCAGGAAAACCCCCTTTTAACTCTGGATGATTATCAGATAAACCCCCATACTTTGAAAATGTTAGAAAACCCCCTTAAGTATAGGGATTATTAGAAAACCCCCTTAAGATTTTATCAGAAAATCCTCTTTTAACTTTGAGATTTTATCAAAGACCCTCCTAAAAGTGTCATCAAAATTAAATGGGGTTTTCTGATAACATCTAAAATTAAGGGTATTTTTTCATGATGTTTTCAAAGTTTTTTTGGGGGG